TCGAAATTTTGTCTTTGAGACTGTGGTCTCGCGCTGCGTACCAAAATGTTATAAACTCAAGCTTTTCTCGGCAGTATAGTGGTGGGTGGTGTAGTGGCAAGTGGCCCTGCTTACCACGCGCGCGAATCGGGGATCAAATCCTGTATCGTAGTCGCGGCCAACCAAGCCTTCCATCCACAGTCGGTTAATTGGTACCAGACTTGTCTGGGAGGATAAAAACACTGACTTGTACATCGGCTGGCCCCCGCAAGTCATTGTATAGGCCAAATCGCATTCAATTGCCACTACGAATTCTACAATGGAAGTAGAATGCGTGCCGCATCCCAAAAAGGGATTGATCAACGCCGGATGCTCATAAGCTCAATAGTAGTGAATTTCGCGTCTTTAAAGCAACACCTCCAGCGGAAGTCGTGTCGGAGGATCTATTTGTGGGATTTAGATCTATTTATTTAGAGTAGCCACAATTTGTAAGACCTAGCGCCATTGTCGAACACTTTCGCGTCGAGACAACAGCACAGATGTATTGTTATCACGGCGCGAAAGTGCGCGACAATGGCGCTAGGGTCTTACAAAGTCAGCTTTTGGCGACTAATCTTAGCATTTGGACGAGTTACGTCGCGCACACCCCATGACACGCAACGTGGATTACGGCGTAGCGGCTAATTCAAATACGCGGGTTAGCCGTGGAGCAGGCAAGTTCGTACAACTCGTCTGGCCCCGCCCCTTCCTTATTTCAAGGGAATTCTTGTTTAGGGCTTCATCGACGGTTTTCTTTGCTTCTTTTTTTCATTTTTTATCAACTCGGCGTCCACAACTCATTGTCGACCGCTGAGGCCCCACAAATTCCATCTGGTGGTTGCTTCAAACAACTGATGCCAAGGATATAAAGTCAGTTTTACTTGGAATAACTGTAACAATAATATGTAATACAGCGAGCAGCTCTTCACCAGATTTTCTTTCTTCTAACGTTGTGATGTCTGTCCAGTGCTTCGCATTCGGCTTCTGCACTGCTCTGACCTGTGAAAATTAATTAGTTTCTGCAGTATTCAGTTACAGTTTTGATAAAAAAAATAGCGTGAAGCTGAATCGCAATTAAAGATAACCAACTTGCGTCTGACCCAACGCATCACCGCATCCCTTATCGTTCTTCCTTTCCTTTGCGATCTTGCAATGTAGTTCGAGAGGCTGTCTTTGTTTTTGTCGTCCATTACAGTATCTTGAAACAGAATGTTCTTTGTATGCTTCGAAGGGAGGTCATCGATCGACTTCTTTATGTGTTAGATGGGCAAGCCTGGTGTGTGGCCGATGGCTGGTTGTGCTATGAGCCGCTGAGAGTTGGGAAAAGTGATTTATCAGGTGATGGAGCTGTGGAAGGTGACCTTCGCACGAGGAGCGTCAGAAGGATTTTAGCTTACTAATTGTCGTGATGAAAATGTGCTACTAGATCAGACAAGGCGGATTCGATGAAAAAAAAACATGAGAAGTGGCCTAGAATCCCGAGAATGGGTCCCCTTCTTGCCCGTTGATTTCCGCATTGATGCGACTCTCATCGGTGCTGCCCTCTTCAACGCTAACGCTCTCTCTGCTAAACGGCTAGAGGTCAGACAGCGAGAGGAGGCGTACCGCGCCGATAGCGCCGCGGGGAGGGCCATGCTAGATCGCCGGGGCATATCCTTCGCTGCGAATTGTGTCGGTCCGCACCCTTAGGAGGTCCGCCTGTTTTCCCACTAGGTAAGTTCCCTTCTTCGACCTTCGACCTTATCGCGGAATCCTCCTATAGAGGAAGTTGGCGTGATAAGTTGAGTGTTAAAAAATGTGTGTACTCACTACTATAAAAGGAGGATGGCCTCCTAAGGGATTGATAGGTAGCGCTTTAGCGACGAAAAGGGCGTCCGTAACGAAGCCAGGCTTGACTCATCCCTCTCCCCAACCTTCGGTCGGCTACTTTAGCTCCAAGTCCTTCACCTTGGACTGTAGCGTTTCAGCAGAAAGGTAGAGCAGAGCGTTGACGTTGATTAAGCCGAGATGAGAATGAGACTCGCTCAGGGCGGAAATCGGCGAGCAAAACGAAGGTTCTGTTTTGTTTCTTCAAGCCGTTTCCTGTTTAATGGTTCTCCTTGGTTTTTCCTTCATAAGTGCATCTCATAGCACCTTTGTTTCAGTTCAGACAGAAGACCAGTTTGTTCTGCCATGCGCCCTTAGGGCCCACATTCGTTGGTCTTTTTCTCTTGTACCATGTCAGTAAGCATTTTTTTTGGATTTTTTTTAGTTCGGCCGAAATTGACATTCTCGTAGTCGACTGGAAACCTAATCCGTATTTGGTGACTATGCGTATACATATCAGATTAGAGCATTTACAAACGGTTCCGTGCCAATTGAGATAATCACAGTCAAAGTGTATTAGACAATCCGAAAAGGGGAAGGCTAGGCCTCTACGTTGAGTTGAAACTCATACATGGTGGAGTCCGTAATGCAAATGCCATTTCATATTGCACGGGTGTGGTTCAGCAGATCCCGATCGTGATTGCGACATCGCTCCTGCCGCTCTGCCAACCAACGGATTTTAAGGCCGCGTTCATAGTTCGCGACTCGGGAGATTAGGATAGTAGGCGACAGGATATTAGGATAGTAGTAGAGTAGGAGATTGCGCTGACAAGATTGGATACGTATCGATTGAAATCGCTGGAGAGTAGTAGATTGGGCGACTTTCAATACATATGTTTTTCATTGTCGCGTACTATCCTAATCTCCGGAGTCGCGAACTATGAACGCGGCCTTACAGATGTTGGCTAACCGGCTCACCGTGTTATACGTGTGAGTGCTGATAAGCTATGGTACGTATACCATGAAAAGCTGAGTTGGAATGAAATGGTGCCCCGGTAGCGTAAAGCGCACTTGCCCGGAAAGCGAGAGGTGCGGGTTCTAGTCCCGCCTGGGGCGAAAGTTTTGTTCATGATCCAGCATTCTTGTGAATTTGTATTAAAATATAATTCGAAGAATCTTTCTCACCTCTGTAATCAAAAATAGGTGTACGCGTTGAACTATTCAGCAGTGAAATACTTCCAGATGGGCTTGTCCGGATTATGGGAGTGCAGGAACAGCTGAACAAGCAAGATCTGCTCCAGTTTCGGACTGAAGTGCATACGAAGCCACTGAGGTGATAAAAGGCAAAAGTTAAACCAGATTGTTAGCCTGGATGGGATTCAGTTCTCAGACCAAGTGGTGGTATTTGGCTAGGTCCCGCATTCGCCTAGCTCAGAAGAAGCGCTATCTTCTTACTACAACCTTATAGAAAGTACTCTCTATCCTTCCACTTTTCTAATAAGCACCATCAGCAATTGATCGATGATAACAAAAGAGCGTTTGGTGTGGTAGGAGTGCTAATTTACCGCAAGTCAGCAACTTCTAAACAGAAAAGAACTATGTCAGGGAGCGTTCAGAGTTGGCATCGAACATGCGATTGGGCCAGTAGGCGATTAGGTGATCAGTCTACAAGGAAAGGAATACGTATCGATTAGGCGATTGGGCGATCGTTCAATTTCAATTTACTCAATCGTTTTTGGCGGAGCAAACATGTCATTACGTATGCTTTTTTTATCGCTACTTGCCTGATCGCCTACCCGCCTAATCGCATAACCGCCTGATCGTCTAATCGATACGCACACTTTCTTTTTGTCATAGCCCAATCGCCTAATTACAAGTACGACCGCTAACTCTGAACGCTGCTTACTCAATTTATCATCACCCGTATCGCTGGTGATTGTTCCCTCGCGGCTTCACGTCTATTGGTGGTGGGCCCATACTGTGTAAGCAAACACGGATGCTGCAACCTCATTACCTATTCTACAGCCATATAATAAATTTGCTCCCTTCTTTTCCCTGTCCATATTTATCTACCCTTTTCAAGTCCTTTGAACCACTGCTTGGTTCTACTAAAAGGGTCCACACATCCTAAGGTAAGCCGGAACACTTATTCGATCGCTGGTGGTTCCTATGAGCCAGTTCTCCAGTTTATTCTTTCCTGAAAACGAGGCATTCCTTCACGTTCACTTACTCGTAGTCCAGCGTTTCGCATAGTCGATCAGCAAAGCGAGCTTCAGAGCATCCTGAAATCCTGCACTTTCCGACGAGGTGGTAGGTTACTCAGTAAATCTGCAGGACCGCGGACGGGTCGGGATTCACGAGTAATTTGAACACTTACGGTAGCAAGCTGGGTCATAGATGGGCAGAGCTGTCATTGTTGCGTCAGACACGTCGTGATACTCCACTGGCCTAAAATCGGAACAATCACGGCTAGGAACTGGTGGGCGTCATATGGGCCATTCATTGGCATTGAGAGCGACGGGGCTGTAATTACCACATCCTGCTGTAGCTGGACAACTCGTCCACGCAACACATTCTATTCCGTTCCTATTGCCTTGGCATGAGGCCAGCGAAGCTACCCGTTCTTTTCAAAATCCTTGGGACTCAGCAGGATTTTTGAGACCAAATTATTGAGGACGATCAATTGAGAGTCTTGGTTAGTTGAGGATACGGCTCGGTTGTCGAATGCTGCGAGAATGGGGCCAGCTGGCGGCGTTGTGTCTAATGCATGGCATCGCGCAATTGACCGGCCTCTCTAGGTGTTTCAGGTCATTCTTAAAAAAGAATTCCACGTGCCCGCAAATCTCGCGCACTGTCCGTCTTCTGTAATCTCGTCCGCCAGAGCGGCTGTCCTCACGCGGTGCGCTCATGGTGCTCGACATTGCATTCGGTGCCGTCATGTACTCATCACAAGTTTTGTTGCAGGGCGATTCTGCAAATATTCATCTGACAGAAGACCATGTCTAGGCTCTAATTCCGCCTTAGTTGCCACAGTCGAACCACCCTGGTTGACTTATTTTTTGAATTACGTTACAGAGCATTCCGTGAGCTGTGGAACCATGAATACTCGGAACAGAAACCATAGAGTGCGAAGGGTTCGTACTGTATCTGATGTAGTCTTCAACGCAAGGGCAAGACGGAGTTGACCTGAAATTCTGAGTTCATCATATCTCAAAAGTGTTCAGCCAGTAGTCTTGAAGTATGATGATAAGCTGACTCAGGATTGGCGGAGAGAGGCTGGTTTCGCGAACCAAGGGACGGCGATGAGCTGCAAGAGCGACGACCCTAGAACCACGAGTGTTTAACGATAGGAATTGGTTCTGATAGGTTGACTTCGTAATTGGAGAGTGGAGGACCATTGTGGATGCATAAAACGAGTTATGAAGACCATAAGGACAGGATTTGTGTAGGGTAAGCACTATAGCATAGGGAAATATCGTGGAGTAAAGGGACGAACTCGCGCAAGAAATGTGGTAAGGATGGGTGGAAGGATGGAATTTAGTTAAAAAGGTTATCACCTATATTCTGGAGAGAAGCAAAATGGCAAGCACGACAATGAATCCGCACTATGGTCCTGCCCATGAGGCCCCACCACCAGCCCTTTATTGTTACCTTTATAAATAAGTTCAGCATATCGCTGAGGAGTTTTGGAAGGTAGATTAGAGACTAGCACTTGAAGGCGAACCTGCAGGGATGTTTGTCTCTTCTCGAATGGCTATGGCGACCTATCTTTTCTTTTCAGAGGCCTTCAACGCAAAGTTCACTATAGGGCACTGGGTACCCGCAGGAGGCCCGTCGCGCGGCAAGAAGGCAGAGTCGGCGGACGAGTTGCAGCGCGTGATGCGATGTAGGACGTACAATGGACATTCTATTTAACTTGACGCGAAATCCCTACAGTACGCGCTGCGACTCGTCCGCTGACTCTGCCTTCTTGTCGCGCGACGGGCCTCCTGTCGGGTGCCCTAAGGCGCGGCGTTCACATCGCCAAGACGTGGTCCGCCTCTGAAAGAAGGAGGTAGCACGAGGACAGGATATAGAGAATGAAGTGGTGGATACCTTACTTCGCGCACAGTGGCTTATAGAGTCACCTGATCGAGTTAAGCTCAGGTAGAGGGAGAGAAGACGTTGATTTAGATTTCGAAGATGGTACTGATCATACAAAAAGCGATCATGTTGAATATGAGCCGATTTTATGAAAGGTTAGACCTATATGCTAATCCTGGCCACTGCCTCAAAACAACACTCCCAGTTCAAAGATGTGGGGTCACAGCGGTTGATAATGAAGTTGTGGATGCCGAGATTGACTAAAAATGAAAAAAGAAGCAAAAATCGATGAAGCCCAAACAAAAATTCCCCTTGAAAAAGGAAGGGGCGGGGCCAGACGAGTTGTACGAACTTGCCTGCTCCACGGCTCAACTAACCCGCGCGTATTTGAATTAGCCGCTACGCCGTAATCCACGTTGCGTGTCATGGGGTGTGCGCTACGTAACTCGTCCAAATGCTAAGATTAGTCGCCAAATGCTGACTTTGTAAGACCCTAGCGCCATTGTCGCGCACTTTCGAGCCGCGACAACGGCACATCTGTGCTACTCGTGGGCTACTCTATCCACCACTGAATAGATTTTTTGACACGACTTCTGCTGGGGGGGGGGGGGGGAAGGGGCTGCTATAAAAGGTGCGCTTAGTGTCCAAGCCGAACATTTGGGTTCTCGCTTCTAACCCTTACAATTCCTACTCCTCAAAATGTGTACTATCACTTGTTAAGGGTACCGAAAGTGAAACGTTCCCACCACAGTGGCTAATTTGGGATCAATAAACTACAAGTCAAAAAGTTTCGGCATGCCGAAGATAACTCCATGGAAAAGAGTAGGGATCCATTTTTGATTGCAGAAGTTCTCGACGCAAAAGGAAGGAGATACCTGGTAGGCGGTTGGTAGTCTTTCGCAGCACGGCACTCTGAAATCGGTGATGCGATTTCGACAAAAGAACGCGAAGGATGCCAGATTGTAACGGGAAAATGTACTAACCAGGACATTCA